GGCTCAGACTTCTCACCAAATTTTCCTGTTAGCACCTTTCTTGTTATCCTGCATTCCATCATCTAAAAATGTGTGGTCACTTGTAAGGTACTTAACAGTGTTGCTGTCACTGCTGTTGTAACCAGTACATGGCAATGAAGTATTTCTCTCATATATAAAGAACTCTCTTTTATAAAGAACTATCCTAACTAGCTCTTTTTAAAAAACACATGGAAGTATGACTAAAAGGAAAGACACTAAAATATTAACAATGGATAGCTAGAGTTTGGGTGATTTTGCTTTTCTGCCTTTAGATGCTTTATACTTTTTGGTTTAAAAAAATTAATGAAAGAGGGAAAATATCGAAGGCTTAACATAACAAATAGAATCATAGCCCAGACAAGGATATTGGCATACTTGAAAAGACAGTATGTGAACAGAATAGAAGTGTCTGATGAAACCTAGAGCAAGAAGCTGCAAGAGCAAGTTTGTCAAAGTTTACACAGGGAAGAATAAGTTTGTTGCATCGAACCTGGATGGCAGTCAGTATTAAAATTATCCATTCATCTTCTCTCATACTTCATTCAGTTCAGTGCCTAACAAGCAAAATTACAGTTTTAAATGGCATTCTTATATGTTCTGGAAGGCAGAATGCACTGGTTACGCCAACATGTTCCTTATGTTATTTCAGTTTATACATCAGTCTCCTCTGAGTTGGTTGTTAAGAATCCATTCTGAATCAGTCCATTCTTGGTGCCCTGACAAGATCAAATTTCTGCACCTGCAAACCCGAGAGCTGGCTGCTGAGCCACAGTAACTACACCAGGTAAAGTCTATGACCATTGATGGCACTAGAACACCCACGACTTGCCTCTCTCTCATTATTACTGTTCTTATACAACAATCACAGTCTCAGAGTTGGCCCCTCAGCTGCCTCTCCTTTCCAAGCTTTCTAAATGGTACCATTTTTATTCTCAGGGGAAGACAGCATGGGAACAAGTAATTCTACACCTAAAGCCACCATTGGTGAGTTCAAGACAGGGACAATTACCTGCTTTACTGCTGAGTTAAAAGAACTAGAAATTGTCTTGAAGGGCTGTAAATGGGACAGCACTGGCTAGTGCATTTCTGAAGCTGGAAGAGTCAGATTTTACCATGATGCCGAATTTAATGCCAGGAGAAGTGAAGGAGGAAGCAAAGAGAACTGCCTGGCCCTGCATATCGAAGTAAAGGGTCTCTGTGCTGGATATTAGACTCCCTGGGTAGTTTACGAGAATCTAGTTCGCTTTTCTCACTGCTCTTCCATTTGTGGCGTAGGCATTGGGAAAACCACTGCGGCTAGGCAGTGTTAATAGCTGCCCTGCAAATAGATGAGCAAACCAAAAAAAGCAGCAGTTTCAAGGTCAAATTCCCAGGGACTTTGGGAAATACTTGTTCTGTTTCTCCCTAGGCTGGAGATCTCTGCTTGGAGCACCGGAACTCTCCAGGGGTTCCTACTAAAATCTTTGAGGAGGGAGACACATGAGACGTGTTTGTTTATCAAAGGGCCTGTAGGCTTGTACTTCTTTTATTTGTGTAACTGATTGTTTTTAAAGTTCCATTTCTGATCTTCATTTTTAAGGACTCAGGATCTAAGAAAAAATGTTCTCTCTTTTTGCAGAGTTGCAGCCCGTCATTAGTCTCCACTGGTTGCTTGGGTGGGAGGGGCACCTGGGGACACTTGAGCTGGAAGGATTTCATACACTAACTCATTTCGGGTTCTCTCCTAGGCAAACAAGGCACCTTCACCACAGCAGCCCCAACGACTACCTCTGCACCCTGTCTCTCTAACAACCCCAGGTGAATAAGCATTCTGCCATCCATTTCATTTTGTACCGCATGGTATTTGATTTTGTGTTGACAACTTCGGCTTGGGGACTTGGGCAGGGGAGTCTGGGGAGAAGGGATCAGAAACAAGGGAAGAACTGAATCAGTTTGTGATCTTAGGAGTATGATTCTTAACTGGGTGTTGCCCAAGCTTTAGGGGATCTATGAATCCCCTAAGCTTATAGATAAAATTTGCCAGGTAGGGGCCTATGAACATTGTGTGTGCGGTAGGGGGGCTAGGGAGAGAGGCCACAGCTTTCATTGATTCCCCAAATGGATCTGAAACTCAAAAGCAAACAGCTGAAAATCAGTGGGCGAGACTGAAAGTCCACTAACCAGTGTGAAGGCCACTGCAGGTGTCCGTCCACAGGTGGGGAAGCTTATACTCTGGCCTTTAGGACAGGCCTTCAAAAAGCCCAGCAGTTCATCTGCTCCCTTTCTTTGCCGAAACAGCAAGGAACATTTAATCTTCGCCTTTTGTGCTGGGATTCTACTGACGCTGCTGCTGCTGGCACTTGTCTTCCTCATCATAAAGAGCTACAAAAAATGTAAGTGGTCTCCAAGGGATGGGACAGCCCTTCCTTCTCTGCCATTCGGGGAAGAGTAAGCTGTGAGTGAATAACGTGAGGGGGTGGGGGTTGGGGTAGGGCGTCCTGCTTAGCCCACCCTCTCTGCAGACTGGGGACTCCAATCCCTTCATTTCCCTTCCCCCCTATCCTCCCCACCCTCCAGCACTTTCTCCCTGCCCCACCCTTTCACCCAAGATTGAAGAGAGAGGTTCCCCTTTCCTCCAGGCGCCCTGGTGAGACTTGTCCTTCTTTCTCCCTGGCACTTGTGGCAGGTTGCTCCAGTCCCCAGGCCCTGCAGCCTCACTCAGATCCTCTGGCCAAGGTAAGATGACCATGCTGTTTCCAGGACACCAGAGGGCTACTGCCACTGGGCTACTGCCTCTAGACTAATGGTATTGCTTTCTGGACACTGAGCAAAGGACTCTTTGAAGAGTTCTCCTGATCTCTTTGGGTCTTCTCTGACCAAAGCTTTCAGTTTGCTTCTGAAGACACACCTTTAGCTCCAAATCGAACTTACTCATTCCTCCTTTTTCTCTCTCTGCAGCTTTCATCCATCCCAGAGGAGTCACTTACCTATGCCAGAATGACTTTCAAAACCTCAGAAGAAAAGGGCAATCACTTGACTGAGAATCATTCTGCAGACTCGGACCCCACAGTCTATGCTCAAATTAAAGCAGCACACTCAGCCTGCCTTTCCAATGAGGCTTGAATCCAGTCCTTCGCATCTCAGCGCCATCTTTATACATCTTTTTCTTTTTTTATTTTTTCTTTAACAAATTTTGGGCCACAACCTGTGTGAAACTGCAGTCAGAGTTGTTTAGGTGTGATCTGGCAATGCTATCCAGCAGTTTTGAAGACCAGTGGTCAGTCTTCTGCCTGGCCAGAGAAAAGATTGCTGGCCCTTCCGCTTGAACCGACACGACAGACTGTTAGCCCCATGAGGGCTGAGACTGCCTCCCTCATCCCCTTCCAAAATAAGTGGCACGGAGCTCAGTGCACAGCGTATTCACCCAGCATCAGGGTCAACTCGGGAGGAGTCGACCAAATGAACAATCTATCAAGAATTTCAAATAAAGACGATCCCTCCACAATGTTGGCTCCTTCTTCATCATTTATTTGTCTATTCCCACCACCTTCTCCAGAGGTCAGGACCAGAAGTCCAGACCTCATCCACAGGTTCAGAAAACTAACAGAGGTGATGGTGCTCTGAAACAAGCTCTGGTTCCATTGGGGTGTAGGTCTCACACTCCGCCATTAACCAGCTGCATTCATTTGGGCAAGTTTGTCAAACTTTTTAAGCCTCAAGTCCTTCATCTTGAACACAGAGACAGTAACACTTACCGCTAATACTTAGTGTGAGGATTAAATGATATATCATACACATAGTACTTTATATAGCCCAGAGTTCTAAACAAATACAAGGCCCACATTGTATAAAGCACTATTCCAATGTGGATTTCTACCTCCTTGCTATAGCATAAAAGATATCCATAACAATGTTATATAAGAACCAAAGGTAAAAATATAAACATTAATTGCCCCCAAATCCCGATCAATAATCACATAAACAATCCCATCAAAAATACTAAGAAGATTAGTTACACTAGGCAAACTTACTTTAAATTTCCTTTGTGAACAATAATCAAGAAAGCTAACCCAGGAAAATGTATAAAAGTAAATAAATAATAAATAAAAGTAATATGAGAAGGCTAGCCCTAACAGCTAACTAAAAGTACCTGTTTTATTAAGCATGTCAAATTAAAGCAATATGTTAATGGTTCATGAATAAACAAATCAATGGAATAGAAAAGTAAGAACATAAGTAGACCAAAATACATAGGGAAATTCAGAGTATGATGAAGATGGCATGTCCACTCATTTGGGGGAAATTGGTTTATTCAATAAATGGTGTTAAGATAGGTAACCATGTAGATGAAAATAAAATAGGATCCATATCTCATTTTTTATATTGAAACAAATTCCAAACATGTCAAAGATTTAACTATAAAAAACATAAAAATACCAGAAGAAAATATGGGAGAATTTTGAAAATTATTTCAGAGTGGAACATGCCTTTAAATGTATGACACAAAGCCCAGAAATCAGAAAAGATTAACTCGACTTATAAAATAAAAGAGACAGGGTCTTGCCCTGTTGCCCAGGCTGGAGTGCAGTGCCACGATCATAGCTCGCTGCAACCTCAAACTTCTGGGCTCAAGGGATCCTCCCATCTCAGCCTCCCAAGTAGCTGGGACTATAGGCATGCACCACCATATCTGGCTATTTTTTTTTATTTTTTTGTAACAACAGGGTCTCACTATGTTGCCCAGGTTAGTCTTGAATTCCTGGCCTCAAGCAATCCTCCCAAAGTGCTGGGATTACAGGCCTGCATCACCATGCCTGGTCAATTTTTTCTATTTTTGGTAGAGATGGGGTTTTGCTCTTGCTCAGGCTGGCCTCGGACTCCTGAC